CACCTTAGTATGGATGGGCACTGTAGACTTGTTCCCACAAGCTTCTTATATTACTCAAAGAATTTAGTAGCAATATTTCCCCAATGAAACTGGGTCACCACTACAACCACAATTGAGTGACCACTAAGTCCTTAGGCTTTGTAAAGACTGTGGTAGTTGGGTGGAACTATAAATTCTGATGTTTATTAACCCTTGATGTAAGTTGGGTCCACTTAAACCCACCTTAAACAGCTTGACCCACCTTAAACAGCCTGTCTGCAGAAGCACTGCAAGCTCTTTATGTAGAGGATGCTTGAAAGGTGAAACGTGTAGTTGGTGCAACCAAATGTGTCAAAAATGTGAATGCGCAATCCTATGACTGGTATTTGCTTCACAGACTTGGAAGAAAACAGCCGCACTCCCAGAGCTTCATAGAACAGCAAAAAACAGGGAAAGTCGAGTGTAAATAATAAGGTTGGGGCATAAATACTATATGATTCAGGTATAGGACAGCAGTGTGGTTTACCATAGCCATACCATGGTTTATAAACATAGGCTAGGTTTACACTAGTTCAGCTGCGACTCGGATTTTGAGTACAATTTAATAGGGCGATATTGGTGCATTTTGAATGCGTTTCTCATACCACTGAATTTTTTTTGTTTGTGTGTGTGAAGGGGACAGCTCAATTCGCAGATCCTGGTTGTTAAGGAGCTAGCACTCACGGGTGTCCCAAGAACCAGTGACGCATTCCCAGCTGACAGCAGCAGAATGTAAACAAACACAGTATGTGGGGGTCCCCCCACAACCTATACAAGGCCCTTTGGGTCTGGTATGGATTTTAAGAGGGACCCCTTGACAAAATGACAAAAAAATGGCTTTTGGTCTCCCCCAAATTCATACCAGACCACTATCTGAGCTTTTAGTCTGGCAGGCATCCCCCACCTCTCCTCCCCTTAACCATACAGGCCACATGCCCCTAACTTTGCAAAGCACCTTGTTTCCGTGCAGATACGGACAAGGGCCTCTCCCCCACAACCGTGGTCCGATGGTTGGAGGGGGGGGGAAGAGGGGGAGTCTGTGGGTGGGGTGCTTGTGACGATGAACAAATGAACGACAGCCGCCAACTTGCAAAAGAAGAAAAAAAAAAAATCAAGTGACGAGATCAGTCATGTTTTAGCTGGCTTTTTCTTTTTGTTCAGGTTGGCAGCCATCATTCATCATGATTGAAGTGAAGGATGACATGATTGACAGTGGATGTGCATCAGGGGACAGTTTATGAAACATTTAATAAGGACTTGTTTGGAAGCCAGCGGGTGTTGGCTCTTAACAACCAGCACAAAACACTGACAAAAAAAAAACATGTACATGTGTTTTTGGGGCATTTCCATTGAAGGCTATGAAGCAAAAATCAGGCAGCAATTGCACCAAACCCTTTTCCAAAAATGCACCCTGTTGTGAGGCATTGATTTGAATGGGCACCAAAGTCAGCAATGTGATTTTCATTGTCATGCGATTCTGCAAGTCATGAATGTGAACCAGGGACTGCTATGCTTTGCAATGTGCATTGTGCTATGCTTGGTGTAGCACTATTCAAGTCAATGAATGAAAGGAGGAGGGGAGCCCAGTCATGTGACCTGCCAAGTCAGGCAACCAGACCCGCCTTATCACAGGTTCTATACAATAGTCTACATTTTCTGAGTGGATCATGAAGGTATGGTGTGTGGCAAACACTGAGATGACCAACTTGATATGGTTAGCAATATCTGCTTTTCACTTTAAACAGACTCAGGAAGGATGTGGAATTACCTATAAAAACTAGAAAGGTTCACATTTTTGGGTTCTTACATTACTATTTATGCGATGCAGCCTTAGTGTTACAATAAAGGTATTTTGATTATACACTACAGATTTGCTTTAACTTACTCCAAATGATACCACTGCAGACACATCTACAATGATTCTCATGGTGCCATAATTGGATAATGTTAAAACAATGGGATGCGTATTTCCAGCTGGCATGTACTTGTGCTTAACTGCCTGTGGACTGAACACATGCAGATGCAATGACTCAAGATCAGAGCTTTATAATCTGTAACTCCTTACTGAGTAGTAAGAGAACTGTAGTTCTCTATACGAAAAAATGGAAAGCTCACTAGCACTGTACAGGGTGGATATAGGTTTTTCTACATATAGAAGCAATTATTGGCTAGTATTGAAACAATGACTTAGCCAAAAAAAGCCCTAAAACACACAGCACTTATAAATATGGTTCTAAACTCAAATTTTTTTTTTACCCTAATGAATTCTCTGCATTAAGGTAAAAAAAAACCTTCCAATAACTATTCCCCCCACCCCCATTCCTTTCCACCTTGGAGATTTGGATGTTCGGCTAGTTTTATTTCTTATAATGCTCAAAAAAAAAAAAAAAGGAGGGGAAAAAGGGTTCAGAGAGTGCAAAGACATCATCAATAGGAGGACCCTTAAAGCAGAACTCCAGTCAAAAATGTTTTCTCACCATGCACCACTACGTGGATCAGCTGCTTGTTTTTTTTCTAGGGGTGAGGACAAAGCAAATACTAGACTGGCGATTGGCCCCGCTGCTGTAAATCACAGCCAGTGAGGTGGAGTGGGGGGCAGGGCTGAGCCGCGCTATGTATGTCTTATGGACATATAGGGCTGGCTCAAAAGCGAGCACACGTGGGTGTCCCCAAAGCAGTTTGGTCTGGGGGCACTGGGCAGGGGGGAGGGGCCAGGAGCACCGGCGGAGCTCCCAAGAGGAGGGTCGAGGCTGCGCTGTGCAAAACTATTGCACAGTGCAGGTAAGTATGGCATGGTTGTTACTTTAAGCAAAACAAAAAAAAAACGAAGCTTTACCACTTTACACACAATTATTGCTGGATAACACTGTCATTAGTTACATAAGTTACAATGACCCAATTACCTACTCAAAGGAACCAATAAGATTAATTAAAAAAAAAAAAATACAGATTTTGGATACCATTCTCTCTTTCACCTTTGTTCGGATTTATAAACGTTTGGAACAGCCCCTCCACAACATACTAGTATATACAGTCATGGTAAAAAATATTGTCACCCCTGCATTTCTGTCAGGTAATCCACCACTTTGCCCAGAAAATTGTTGCAATTTCAAATATTTAGGTATTTTCATGTTTATTTCTTTTCTTTGTATTGGTATGACACAAGAAATTACAGAAACAAAAAGCCAAAACTGACACATTCCACGCAAAACCCCAAGAATGGACTGGACAAAATTATTGGCATCCCCAATGTAATATTTGGTAGCACACCCCTTGGGAAAATTAACTGAATTCAATCACTTCCTGTAACCATCAATGAGTTTCTTACGCCTCTCTGTTGGAGTTTTGAACCACTCTTCTTTTGTCAACTGCTCCAGGTCTCTCAGACTGGAAGGGTTCTTTTTCTGTTCTGAGATCTCTCCACCGGTGCTCTGTAGGATTTAGATCCAGACTCACTGCTGGCTGTTCAGTACTCTCTAGCGCCTTGTCAACCATTTCTGGGTGCTTTTTGACGTGTGCTTTGGGTCACTGTCCTGCTGTAAGCCCATGACCTCTGAAGGAGACCCAACTTTCTGACACTGGGCCCTACACTGCACCCCAGAATTCTTTGGTAGTCTTCAGACTTCATAATGCTATGCACACGGTCAAGACATCCAGTGCCAGAAGCAGCAAAGCAACCCCAAAACATCAGTGAACCTCCACCATGTGTGACTGTAGGGACTGTATTCTTTTCTTTAAAGGCCTAATTTCTATTTCTGAAAACAGTAGAATGATGGGCTTTACCAAAAATGTTGTTTCGTCTGTCCACAACACATTCTCATGAAAGGATTTTGGCTTCCTCATGTATGTTTTGGCAAACTCCAATCTGCCTTTTTATGTTTCTGTGTCCTCAGTGGGGTCCTCTTGGGTCTCCTACCATAGCATCCCTTTTCATTCAGTTGGCGACATAGCTGTACCTGAAGGTCAGCTTGAATTTGTCTGGAAGGTAACCGAGGTTCTTTATCCACCATTCAAACAATCCTTTGTTGCAAACTTTGATCAATTTTTCTCTCTTTCATCCACGTCCAGGGAGATTAGCTACAGTGCCATGGGCTGTAAACCTCTTGACAATGTTGCACACAGTGGACACAGGAACATTAAGATCTCTGAAGATGGACTTGTAACCTTGTCCATGCTTTTTCACATGTTTTTTGTTCTCAAATCCTCAAACAGTTCTTTGCTGCTCTCTCTCTTCTCCATGCTCCATGTGGCACAGAGAGACACACAACAGAAAGGTTGAATCAATTTTTCACCATTTTAACTGGTTGCCAGTGTGATTTCTATAATGCCAGCACCTGTTAATTGATACAGGTGAGTTTAATTACAAATTACAGGAGCATCACAAACGTGGAATGCAATCATTTCTTACAACCTTGAGAAGGTGCCAATATTTTGTCCAGTCCATTTTTGGAGTTTTGCATAGAATGTGTCAGATTTGGCTTTTTGTTTCTCCACTTTTTTTGTGACATACCAATACAAACAAAAAAAATAAACATGATAATGCCTAAACAACTGCAATTGCACCAATTTTCTGTGAGAAGTGGTGCATTATCTGACAGCATGCTGGGGTGCAATATTTTTGGCCATGACTGTAATTACTTGAATCTTTTTACACTTATGTTGCCCCTAAACGTCATAACCTGATCAAATGATTCTGTACAAAATCGGACAATATGATTTAATCTTTGGATTAAAGAAAAGACACTAAATGTGTCATCCATCAATTTTAAGCAAAACAGATTGGTCTGTATGGGACATCCAATCATAGCAAAGTAGAGTGATCAAAATGATCGAAAAGTGTATGGTGAACACCACACATTGAACAGTCTTTTCAATCACGTTTTTTTTACGAGACAGTAAATTGACAATATGATAGCATATAAACACATTCCATGTATGGCTGCATTACAAACAAACTCAAGAGATATTAAAATTGCACTTACATTAGCAGGTTTTAGTTTGTTGATAATGGTGGTCTTCCCACTGTTGTCTAAACCCAGACATAAGACATGAACTTCTTTCTTCTTCAGTCCCAGCCAACCTGCCAGCCGGTCAAACAAACCCATGATCCTCAGTCTGCACCTGACATCAAGAATTTACATAACAATCATCAGTACAAGACGATGTACAAAATCATGATAGGCCTGGTATCATTAGGTGAGGGAAAGGTAAGCAGCCATGTCCCAGCAGATGCAGCCCGCATAACAGACTAAGCTTCTTATAATAAAAGCCTGTGGTTTCTAATCGGGATTGACAAGCTGCTGAGAGAAGACTACTCTGTAGGTGGTCTTCCCATTGTCAGATCGTCATTATCCTGTTATGAAATCTTTATACAACTGTTACAACATACATCATCAGATTAAAAAAGAAACACTCAAACTAGGAAAATTGCTAGATACTGTTAGTATTGATCTATAGAGGAGAAAACGGTATGGCCATGGAGTAAAGACAATGCACGCTCAAGCTACAAAAGACAGCTAATGAGAAATCAAAAAGTTACTGCAAGCTTTCCTGGTGCCCAATAAACAGGATTTCCTTTTAAAAAAGCAACTTGGAAAAACTGGTAGCAGTGAACTCCAGACAACACTACACTATGTTAGGAGCATTCATACAAACGTGATTCCTCCTGCGTCTGCCATTGCACAACATTGAAAAAAATCACAGTATTCTCTATGGTAGCCATTTTCATCAATGCAAATGCTGGGGCATGATTTCTGAAAGGGTGCAGCTGCTTCTTTTGGTACAGCATAGTGGGGTTTATTTACTAAAGGCAGATATACGCTGTACTGTAAGTGCAGCTGCGCCAGAGCTTAGCAAATGAGGTAAAGCTTCACTTTGCAAAGAATACCCAATCACATGCAAGGAAAATAAAAACAGCATTTTTGTTTGCACATGATTGGATGATTATGAGCTTCTTCTCAGATCTAGAACAACTGCACTTGCAGTGCATTTGAAGTGCATTTCCGAGTGCACAGTATATTTGCCTTTAGTAAATCAACCCCAATGTCTTTCTGGCTCCAAATACTTCAATGGGAGCATTGTAAATATGTACAAGCTTTTTTCATGTTTTTGGTAAGATTTTGTGTTTGGCAACCAGTCTCCTCCTGCAAAAAAAAAAAAGCATGAAGCATTAAAATGTGTGAAAAATGTGGGTGCAAAAACATGCTACAGCAACGCACTGAAAAATGTAAACCTAAGCTTTAAGAATATTTAAGCCCAACATTTCATACTCCTGATATGTGCCTGCTGTACCAGGTACTTGTATGAAAAAGTATCTTGTTATCTTTGTATTGCTTCTTCTTTTGTGTGAAATCCCTGGTGCCAGTCCTTCTGCTTTCCTATTAAAAAACTGACCACACTAAGCAGGAGAGCACAGCATGGTCAGTTCTCTAGCTATGCTGGGAACTCCATGTGCTCTCCTTCTATGATCAGACTTCTGCTCTCACACCCCCACTGCACAGACATTCACTGGAAGATCAGTGTTCTGCTGTTTCTCCTCCCCTAGCTCTTATGCAGCTGAGAACAGAGGCAATGCGATCACTTATAAAGCAAGGGGAAAAGGTATTTAAATTAAAAATAAAGGTTTCATTTTTATTTTAAAGTGAATGGGTTGTTTTACGAGGTGAGGGTTTACAATCACTTTAATGTCCACGAGAGCTGAGTGCTAGATAAACTGGGTGCTACAAACCCACTGGTCAGCAGCCTGAGAACTCTTTTGGGTTGTCTTGCAAACATCTTGTCACATGATTCTGTTTTATGCAACCTATATCTCAGGATCCAATTCATAGGAGTGAGGCCACACTGAACCAGGATAGAGGCAACTAGGAATGTGCAGATGTTTGCAAATTAGACTTGAGACTCACTCGAGTAAACGCAGTTTATGGCATTGTCCTTCTCATCAGTTGACAGTATTCAAGCCTGGGGACTGGGTGTTTAATCCTGGGTAAAGGTGACATGCTCCCTGACACCTGGGAGTGCCCAGCATTTGCAATGACTACAATGAAGCAATCAAGTGGCAGGGGTGCGCAGGGACAGCGTAAAAGGTGGGTTTGGGGGGCTACAAAGAGGCTATCACTTTTATATTATTAGGCAAAGTGAAAGATTATCTTTAATTGAGGGCCATTGTGTGAATTTCTGTGTTATTTACCTCCAAACAGCTGTTTCCATAAAGTATAAAAGCAGTAGAAGGTACTTGATGAATAGCAAAGACGTCTAACATGAACAGTCACATTAAATGTGACTAATTACATATTAGGTATCTGGAGCACTTCCAAAGTACCATTATGGCTGATTCTCGCATTAAAGGCCCCGTTCACATTTGCGAATGAGGCCATTTGCGTTTAACAGTGGGAGGCTCAGCAGGGTGCACTGAGATTAGCTGTGGGCGGGAAGCCCCATTGAAAACAATGGGAAGCTGCTGGGCCTTCAACACTGACAGAGAATCCCGCTGGGTCTCCAACAGCTAATCGCATGTGGCCCCATTCGCAAATGTCACGGGGACCTTAAACATGAAAATCAGCCATAATAAGTACTTAGGAAGTGATCCAAATACCCGAGATGTAATTCATCACATTTATTATGACTTTTACTGTTAGATGCTTTGCTATTCATCAAGTACTTTATACAGCTTTTATAGAAACAGCTGTGTGCACGGGACCTAACCGCAGCCATCTTTCAGGCCATGTGACAAGCAGACCAAGCTGTAAACTGACTTCTCCAAGAATGTTAGACAGATATTAGAAGGTGGCAACACCTGTTGATTTAAAGTGATTGTAAAAGGGGAAAAAAACATGTTATACTTATCTGTTCTGGTTTTGCACAGAGCTGCCACAATCCTCTTCTGCCGGTGCTCCTGGCTCCTCCCTCCGCCGAATACCTCCCTAGCAAGCTGCTTGCTTTGAAGGCAGATGCTGGCTAACTCCTGAGCCACCCTCTGTGTGTCCATTGGCAAAAAGAGTGCAGCTCTGCTTCTTCCTCAAAGGCTGTGATTGACAGCAGCAGGAGCCAATGGCTCCCAGTGCTGCCCCTTAGCCAGTGAGAAGAGAGAGTAAGTGGAGAGAGCTGCTGCTCTCGGGCACAGCGCTCGAAATTGGGCTCAGGCAAATATAAGCAGGATGGGGAGGCTGGGGGAAGCTGCATACAGAAGGTTTTTAACCTTCATGCATAGAATGCATTTTAGTTGAAGAAAAAAAAAACCTTTAGAACAGCGGTTCTCAACCTGGGGGTCGCGACCCCTTTGGGGGTCGAACGACCATTTCCCAGGGGTCGCCTAAGACCATCGGAAAACACATATTTCCGATGGTCTTAGGAACCGAGACGCCGCTCCTGTCTCCGGCGATGTGTGGGCGGGATGATATGCTGCCCCTGTCACCGCCTCCTCGCCGCTGATTGGCCACCGGAACTGTAGCTCAGGAGAGGCACACAGGCGGCCAATCACCGGCGAGAAGGTGGAGCTTGGAGAGGAGGAGCCGAGCGCAGCGCGCAAAGATCGAAGAAGATCGAGGGAGCTGCAGGAACGAGTGAAGAGAGAGGCCAGAGAAGGAAGACAGCTGACAGGTAAGTGCAAATTTTGCTGCTGCAGCCAGGTATGCAGGCTGTAGATGGGAGAGGGAGAGAGCGAGCCCAGGCTGGAGCAGGAGTCAGCAAGGTAAGTATCATTGGTGTCAGTGGGAGGGATAGTGCCCCATCATTTGTGTCACTAATACCAACGATGGGGCACTATTCCTCCCCCCACTGACACCAACGATGGGGCACTATTCCTCCCCCCACTGACACCAACGATGGGGCACTATTCTCCCCCTACTGACACCAACGATGGGGCACTATTCCTCCCCCCACTGACACCAACGATGGGGCACTATTCCTCCCACTGACACCCACAATGGGGCACTATTCCTCCCACTGACACCCACAATGGGGCACTATTCCTCCCACTGACACCAATGATGGGGCACTATTCCTCCCACTGACGCCAATGATGATGGGGCACTATTCCTCCCACTGACGCCAATGATGGGGCACTATTCTTCCCACTGACACCAATGATGGGGCACTATTCCTCCCACTGATACCAATGATGGGGCACTATTCCTCCCACTGACACCAATGATGGAGCACTATTCCTCCCACTGACACCAATGATGGGGCACTATTTCTCCCACTGACACCAATGATGGGGCACTATTCCTCCCACTGATACTAATGATGGGGCACTATTCCTCCCACTGACACCAATGATGAGGCACTATTCCTCCCACTGACACCAATGATGGGGCACTATTCCTCCCACTGATACCAATGATGGGGCACTATTCCTCCCACACACCAATGATGGGGCACTATTCCTCCCACTGACACCAATGATGGGGCACTATTCCTCCCACTGACACCAATGATGGGGCACTATTCCTCCCACTGACACCAATGATGGGACACTATTCCTCCCACTGACACCAATGATGGGACACTATTCCTCCCATGATACCAACGATGGGACACTATTCATCCCACTGACACCAACGATGGGGCACTATTCATCCCACTGACACCAATGATGTGGCACTAGTCCTCCCACTGCAAAATTACAGTTATGAAGTAGCAACGAAAATAATTTTATGGTTGGGGGTCACCACAACATGAGGAACTGTATGAAGGGGTCGCGGCATTAGAAAGGTTGAGAACCACTTTTAGAACCATTTAAATGGAACACCCCCAATGACAAAAATGCTGTGCATATTTACACTTACAAGCAAAGTTTAGCTACTGCTCCCTGACCCAACTTCAGTAAACTAAAAACTTACTGATTGCCCTTAGTCACTGTATATGCATATCATTATTGCTCTTTACATCACCTGGTGCAATAAAGCAGCCCTACCATGACATAAATATGGGAACAGCCACAGCTGATCTTCTTGAGAAAATGGCCGCTCCCTGGCTGTCATCCTGACCCTCTGGTCTTATATACTGAGCCACAGACCCTGGAAGAAGTGTGACTATCAGGAGTTCTAACTCCACTCTCAGTTAATTTACTGCATGCTTGCTTTGGATTTGTAACATACAGCGTTGA